TGAGATGGTTAGATAGCATCACTGAAGCAATGAGCATGAAACTGACCAAACTCAGGGAGGCAGTGAAGGACAGGAAGGCCTGGCGCAATATGGTTCATGGGGTCACGAAGAGTCGGACACGACTTAACGACTAAACAACAACATAAATGTGTAAAAGGATATTATTATTAAAATGAAACATTATACTTTTTATTACATCATTTTACTATCAATAAAATGTGAGCTTTAAATAATCAGGGGTCATTATAAGTATTATATTCTTTGGCCTCATTATTATAGTTGATCAGTTGGTGTTATACCAGATAACTGGGCAGCTATCCAGTATCTCTATTTTCTTATTAAAGAGCACATTATAAATGCTAAAATCATTTTATTAGCAAGCTTGCCCATTTCGTGATTTGTAATTCAACTATATTACTTTTATTTGGTTATTTTTAAAGACTAGAAACTTACATTTCTCTGTTAAATACATTTCTGAATAGCATCCTATACTTCTCTTTTTTCTTTGGTTTTATCTTCCAATATGCTCAACCTTGAGAGAGAAGCCAAGGCCCTGACAATACAGTGAAGTGCCCTACATTGTACAGTAATACCTCGGTTCACAAACACTTCTGTTCCCGAACAATTTGGTTCGCGAACAGCAGCATTCGCAAAATTTTGCTTCCGTTCGCGAACTCTGCATCAGGTGACGAACACGACCCGCGGCCACCTTCCCTGCTCTGACGCATGGTCGTGGCTTCCTCTAGGTGAGATCGCAGTTGCAGACAGACACTTCCTGTCCTCCACGCCAGAAGTCGCCTCAAGCAAGGTTAGTGTTCTCTCTTTTCATACTGTACTGTACTGTACTTTGTTTCATATTTTTGTGGTTAAAAAAAAAAATGGTTCAGAACAGATTAACCTTATTTACATTGAACCTTATGGGGAAATTTGATTCGGTTGGCGACCAATTTGGTTGGCGACCACATTTGTAGGGGTCAGAACAGATTAACCTTATGTACATTGAACCTTATGGGGAAATTTGATTCGGTTCGCGACCATTTCGGTTCATGACCAGAATCGTGGAATGAATTAAGTTCGTGAACCGAGGTACCATTGTATTGTGGTCTCCACTGATTTCACAACTGAAACAACTACACAAAATCAAGTTCTAGTATCCCAGCTACTGTTTGACCTCATATTTCACACCTTTTTCAATACCAACATTCAGGTCTGGTACAGCTATTATCCCTGCAGGGCCATTGATGGTGATAAAGAATGGGCTGACAATGATGGGTCATCAACATAAATAGTTTATGAGTCATGCTGGCAACAGAGAGGGCCAGACACTAACAGAAATACAACTGCACTGAGGTACTACATATTATCCAAGAACACAGAAGCAAATATGCTGACTGAGCAGCACCCACTATTGCCCTGTGCTTCTAAGATGAGCATTCTATAATGGTTGGAATGTGAAAATGACTGTGATTTCGCCTCAGTTATGCTATTTTTTTAATGCTTTTGTTTTTGCTGGTTATCTTTTGTCCTTGGTTTTAATCTTATGTTATTACCCATTGTCACATTTTATTTAGGCAATATAATTTGTCTAAATACATGAATATGATAGGGCCATGCCTTGATGATAGAACCTTCTCCAGCTAGTGCTAGAAAACATCTGCTTAAAACCCTGGATTTTTGCTGTAAGTTAATATTGACAATATATGGAATAATGGTCTGTTTCAATAAAAAGATTCTTATATCCTAAAAAAATACACGACAGGCATATATTAGCAATGGTCATCATATTCTTCATTTTTTCCAGCAGTAGCAAAACAACTTGCCCTCATCAAGTTTTGAGCCAGTATCCCCTCCACACAGAATCAGTTTCATAATTAAATGATTAAAAGGACAGAGTGTATCTACAAACTTGTCCTGCACAGCCCTTAATTAAACTAGCCTTTTCATTCCTGTATTTATATATTTGTACTAATGCTGAAAGAATCATGAGTATTTCAAAATATAGAGGCTTCGATGACTTTATTTCAGATAAATATATACTTCAATAGTGAAAAGAATGTAATTACCGGAGACCACTCCTGAGCCAGCCACTTAGGACAATCAAAAATATTGCAAGGCTGAACAATGGGCATCTTAGGAGTGTACATGCACTTCCACTCCTCCACAGAGCTGACCAGTCCCTGGATGTCTTCTTCCACACAAGAGACTGTGCGGCTTTGAATGCCTCCTCCACAAGAAGAAGAGCAGGCAGTCCATGGGGTGCTTTCCCACCTACAAAACAAGATATAGTTCAGAGGAAAGGCATCATATCTAATCTGTGTAACTGCAGATATTTTGGTATATAGCAGCATTTTTCTAGTAGGAGCAGCAAAGCACTGCCCTATCCCATGTGTACAGATCTTACAGGTCCATCAGCTAGTACTTGGCCTTGAAATGTCCAATTCTGATAAAATGATTTGATCTGAGGATGAGTTTGTGACATTAAAAAATGGGAGAAAAAAACAAAACAAAAGAAAGACATGAATTAAGTAGGCTACTGTATTTCCTGTATAGGAAACTGAAAATTCCATTCATTACCACACACTATATAATGCTAAAGAAAACTTTTAAGCTTCTGTCACTCTTTATTACCAGTATGTCTTCCGAATAGTATTATGTACAGTATGTATGTATATAAATAAATAAAGGAAAGATATGTCAGAAATAGCTTTGGCAGGTTTCCCCAATCTAGTGTCCTTCAGATGAGTTCTGAAACTCTCAGAACTCAGAAAGTTATAATCCTAGCACATCCAAAGTGCTAGGATTTGAATTGCTTTAAAGCATTCAGTGATATTCTCCCTGAATCCTGGAATCAAGTAATATTTGAACAGAATCATGTAAAAATTAATTAAAGGAATTCAGAAGGAACAGAATTGTGTAAAAACAGCAACAGCAAAGAAAACTTATCAAAGAAAAACTGTTTATTTGCAGTTACTTAAACTATATCCTATATGAATTAATGGGACACTCCATTAAAACCATGTTCCATTTAAAAAATTGTATCACCTCTTTCAGTGATTCAGCTGTTGAAGGTATGAAAGCATTTTAATGTGTTTTGAACAATATAGTATACGATTATTTCCTATTTTGAGAAGTTTCTTCTGTGCAGTAATCAGGAATCAAACACTCTCTTTTTCCCCCAACCATATAAATTTATATGTGCCAACACAAGATGGCTCAAGCAGGGATGCTATTTGAGCAGAGATGCTACTGCACAGTTGGGAGGATGATACAAGAGAAACATTCCTAGCTTGTCCCTTAACCTCAACTGCATATGGAGAGCTTCACATCAGATACCTATAGAACAGAGCTCCAGACGCCATCAGGGTCTCCCTATGTACAACACCACTTGACCTCCCCTACTTTGGGACTGAGGCTGATGCAGCACCTGAATTCCAGATGAGTATATCTCAAGTATGCCCACCCCTGTCCTAACACCTAGGTTTCAGTGATAAATACCATCTGTATATTTTTGTGTACAATAAATAAAAAACCAAGATGATCTTATTACTGATAGGACTGGTATTCAATAGTACCACCCTGAGACCAAGATCTCCAACAATTGGTTATGTGGCTCATGAGATGAGATGAGGTGAGGATTGATTGTAAATTTCAAATACTATCCCCTGAAGTAGCTTATCCTCCAATTCTGACTGCATCTTCCTCTATCTGTCAGTACTGTGATTCTCCCTGTCTCCTCACATCCCTCCATCATATCCTTGTTTTTCCTTCATTCCCAACAATCTTGGGAACTGAACACCAGTCATCCTCCCTTAGAATCTCCTGCTAATCATCTCCTCATTCTCCATATCAACCTTATAAAACTTCCTTTCCAGACTGTTCTTACTCCGTGCCCTGCCCTCTCATCCCTCTCTCACCTAGATGGGGTGATTAAATGACTTCTATCACCTTCCCCCAATTTATCTCATTTGGGGGGAGGGGGTGCTAATGCTATCTTCTAATAATCTTCTCCAAACTCAACACAGTTCTTTACTCTTTTCTTCAACCTGATCTTTTTTTCCTTCTCTCTTCGATTTCCTAGTTCCAAACACCACTGTCACCAGTACTTTTTTCCTACTCTCTTCTACCCCACTTCACTTCACCACCAATTCCTTTGGCTCCAGTCTATGTGCTGCAGTTATCCTTGCACTTCCTAAGCTTCTTCCTCCCCTTTGGACCACACTAAGTCTCAATGGTGGTCAATCTGACTTCTGGCTTCACTTTTGCTCTGTCCTTTGGCCCTCCATAGATCATCTACTGGCTGCTGGAGTTCAGTCTGCAATATCTGTTGACTCTGTTGTCTGTTGTCTGTGGCACAGTGGATAAGCAAAGAACACTTTTCTCCTTTGCCTTTCTGCTAGTGCTCTTGCTTCCCCAATCTCTTGACAGGCACACCTCAGTGGACTCTGTTCATTGCTTCCCCGACCAGCCCCTATCATGTTCAGTTCTGCCAGTGACCAGGTGCACTCACTTTCACACCATTTCTTCACTTCCCACTGGTTAGCTCTCTTTTCACAGCAATCTTTTTCATTCACTCTATTTATTATCATCCTCTAATATGCTCTAATTATCTAAACCAGCCCACTTTCACTAATATACTTTCTCTTCCTCTGGAACCATCATAAAGGAAGAGACTACCTTTTGTACACTATGTTTTTCTGAACTGATCTAGGTGTGCTAGGTGTGGAACTAAACAACAGAGAAGACTTACTCAAGGAAGTGGGAGTAGCAGGAGCATTAGAGGAAAGTGACCATATATGCTCAAGTTCTTGATTTTAAGGGGACACTGAAATTGAGAGTATTCAAACACGTACAATATCTTGGACTTCAAAAAAGTGACTTTAATGAACTCACAGCAATGATATGTAGGCCCTATAGTAGGAGACTCTAATGGGAAAATCAGCTTAACACAGATGGGTTAAAGAAGGTTAAAGAAGGAGATATTAAAAGCACAAAATGCAAACCATTCCAGTAAAGAGGAAAAAACAGAAGATAGCAAAAGAAACCAATGTGGCTACCCAAAAAGCTTAATGAAGATCTGAAAATAAAAAGGATGCATATAAAAAAGTCAAAAAGGTCAGGTCATAAAAGATGAATACAGACTATTGGCCTAAAGCTGTAGAGCTTGTGTCAGATAAACACAAATGAATTCTTCCCTGGGTACTGAAGGAACCAACTAATGGCCTGGTCAATCCCATATATATATATATAATCTTTGAGAAATCCCAGGTAACTGATGAAATGCCTGATGACTGGAGGGGAGCTAATCTTGTTCCTATCTTCAGAAAGGGAAAAAGGAAGATCCAGCAAATTACAGTCAGTTTAACATTGATACATGGGAAGATTCCAGAGAGAATCATAAACAGATTGAACTGTAAGCACCTTGAAAACAATGTGGTAATCACCAAAAGACAACATGGATTTTTAAAGTCTGTCAGACTAGTCCTAGTTCATTTTTGATCAGGTAACTTCTTTATATATTGTGTTATAGATATAATCTATCTTGACTTCAGCTAACAGTTAATTAACAGTAGCAAAATAAGGCATGCTTTAAAAGCACACTCACATAATATTATTCAAACAAGATGACTGAAATTGGCTAAATGGTTCCATAATTAGTTGAAAATTACTTTTGAAAGCAAAAATATGTAAAAGTTATATCAATCAATAAAATATAATTAAATTTAATAAAAAATAATTTACTTTGCTAAAAACTATTTTAAAAGTTATTAATGATGATATATAACTATACTAAATGGCAAAAAGATTTTGATCCAGACAATATCTTTCTTTGTCCCAATTAATAAATGACTATGATAACCAAGTCTATATTAAAACTGAAACTGCCAGGTTCTCAGCTTTATTTCTAAGTGATTCAGCTTCTGTAT